CTTGTAGACCCTTTGGGTCATGACTTTGCAATAAATTTTGATGAACTGGCTCAATATTGTTATTAGCTTCGACCATTGTAAATGTTAAATTATTTTATTAATATGCAATAAAAAAATACAATATTAAATATATCATTATACGTAACAATGATAATTTTATCTTGCGAAATTAATAAAGTACCAGTTAAAATTATATTAGATTCCGGTGCTAATTGCAATGTATAGGTAAGAGGTTAGTAGATGAGTTGGGTTTGGAAATCGATAACCCTCATATAGAATCTGAAAAATCAGCACATATATTAACTACAGGAGATAGGCTACCAATAATAGGAATGCTCCATGAAATAAATCCCTCTTTTATTCGAAACATTCCTCAAGGATTATTTCATCAATCGTAACAAGGGCTTTAGAGTGGATAAATATTTATTGTTAACTTTTTTTGGCTAAAGATACAAAGTATATATAAATTATTTCACCATGCTAGTAAAGATAGTTAAAGCTAAAGTAGGAGGGCAAAAAGTTAATTGTCGCCTTGAACCAGGTTTTCACGGTCCTTCCATATGTAGTGATAAGCTCCTCAAAGAAATCAGTGGCAAAATTAGCAGAAAGTTGACTCCCGAAGAAAAAGATAGTAAATTCGTCAGAGAAGAAACCACAGCTCCACTTGGATTGGCCATAATCCCACTTACCTTTACTTCTAATATAAAAAATAATCTCTGTCTTAGTAATAAGAAATCTATCACAATTTCGACCGAAGTACTTGTAGAGGAATATAGCCCTAAAACGCCTAATTATATCCTGCTTGATAATAATTGATTCTATGGCCGCAAATATAATGATGATGAGCTCCAAACATACATACTTGAAATTGTAACTGATGCAGAAGATGCTTGGATAAGAACAACTCTCCGTATTAAAAATCTCGCTAAGAAGAAAGGGAGGAAGGTTATAGTGTGTGTTACTAAAAATAGTATTGATGATGATGCAGAGCATCGAACCTTTGGTTCTTCTGATACTTTCAATTCAAGTGATTCTTCCATATCTAGTTCAGAATCGGATGTTAAGCACGAGTGTAAGGCTGTTATACGTCCGAAACGATGTTACAGAGTAAAAAAGAAAAAACAATTATTGAGTTATATAAAGTGATACCACATGATAATTTTTCATTTAACGAATTATATTTGCCTAATGTAAGAAAACAAGTCGGCCTACCCATCTGCCATATTTAATTTTTTCGTCTAGCTTAGAGAATTGTGCGTCCAAATTTGAGACAGACTCTTCTGATCTTGAGAATGTATAATTATTTACTGAGTTATTAGTTATTTTTCGTGATAATATACATTATTAAATACACTTAATATGTTCGAGAATTTATCTCTCAGAAGTGAAGATAATAACCAATGAAAGAGGTATCATGGCAACATACCTCCTATATCTCTAACACATAGAAGAGTTAGCAAGAATAAGAAATATCCTAAAGTAGATTTAGGCAATGGGTGTGAAAAGCTTTCATTAAAAACGCACCTCAATAATATTTGGAAGTCGGTCTATTCTATAGAAAATGATATAGAGTATGGAGTTTTTGATAAACTTCGTATTATTGATTATGAACTAAGTTGTATAAACAAAGGAAAGCTACCATGGATAAAATCTGAGACAGATCCTTCTAATTCTTGCTTACACCAAAATAAGAGCAAGAAAGGTGGGGGTAAGTATTCCACGGATTCGGATACTGACACTTCCGATACAAGCACTTCTTATTCCTCCAATTCAGGTCCGGAAGGTGTATGTAAGGCCACAGTTGTAAAAAAGCGAAAATGCCACAAGAAATAAATTAACCTATTTGCCATATATATTTTTTCGGTTAAACAATGGTAAGTATTTTTCAAACAAATATAATTACCTTATAACTGCGAAGTAATAATTCCATTCCAAGATGGCTCCCAAAAAATCCAATAAAGACCCCGATTCGCAACTGTCGGAGAAGCCTACCAAATCAAGACCACCTCTTGCACGATTGGCCAAGGACGATATTACAGCAATACTTTATGCCAAAGAGCTAAAAGGTGGGTCTAAAAAAGTTTCGGAGTGGTATAAAATCGGCAACCCAAAGTGTAATAAAATTTGGAAATCTGAAGACCCATACTCATATGCCAACTCAATAGGTGATCCAAATTTGCCTGACTGGTATCCTAAGAATATTAGTGAACCACCCAATCCAACGCCCCAAGAAATAATTACATCCGAGGAACCTGTTATCATCAAGCCTGATCCCATCGAAGTAAAGAGGAAGAGAAAAACAACTGAGATGGAGAATATCGCGCGTCGTGTATTGAGATTTGAGCTAGGGAAACTGGTTATAGAGGAGTAGCAAAAAATACTTGAATCTATATGCCATATTTGAATCGAATAAATGGATGTATATATGTTAGTATGGCTAAGTCAAGAAACAATATGCGTAAAACAATGGGTAAGTTCACTGATAGTCCATCCCAGTATATGAATCTGCTTAATCCCCATAAATATGAACACACGTATAATCCGGGGAATAACTTCGTGATGGTCGAAAATAAAAGTAAGGGAAGTATAGTAGGTGTATTTGATTATACTGAACTATATGTATACTTGGAAATGCACCACCCGTCGCTTCTGGCATAATTTCGTTTTGTAGTAAGACATTTTAACTGCATTTATAAACCACGATTACAATCATCAGATTTTTTTCCAATTATAAAGTGGATGGGATTGTATAGACTGTGTCTGCGAAGCAATATCCACCTATATCTAAATCCGGATTCAGTGTATCTAATGCCTCTTTGCTGATTTTTATGCAATATTTTAAACCAAGATATTTTAGATCGGATAAATTATGTGCGATATCTTTGATGGCTATATCGGTTATAAGCTTGCAAAATCCTAATTCAAGATCTCGAATCTTAGAACACATTTTCGCCAATTTAGAAATAGACTTATCAGTAATAGATTCTGATCCATAAAGATTGAGGTATTCTATATTACGACATGAGCGTGTTACTGCTTCTACCGCTGTATCTGTAACATTACAAAATTCGAGGTTGAGATAACGAATATTCAGACATGATTGTACAATAATACATATCGTTTCATCATTAAGAAATCCCAGGGAATTTAGTGCAAGGTGTTCCAGATTATGACATCGTGCTATTTGTCTGATACCTATGTTAGAAATTTCTTCGCAATCACTAAGATTTAATTTTCTCAGATCTGGGTACGAATCTACAAGAGTATAAATTGTGGAATCGGTAAGCTTCTTGCAATAATTAAAATTTAAAGATTGGATATTGGGATTGAATCGTGTAATTTCACGTATAGATTTATCAGTAATACAATTTCTACCTCCGCTTATTCCTATATGCTTTAAGTCATGACACGATCTCGTAATTCCATAGATAGATCTATCGGTGATATCTCCGCCCCAACTAATTTCCAAATTCTGTAATTTAGGGCATCTCCTTGCAAGTTCAATAATAGAATTGTCGGTTAACTCACAGTTATTAGAAACATTAAGATGAATTAAGTTAGGATATGCCCGAGAAATTTTAATTAATGCTGCATCATCGAACCCACAAGTCCGTTTAAAATCAAGATGAGTTATATTTGGAAATGATTCGATTATCTTTTTAATTACCTTATTTGAGAGTTCATAGTAGTGATTAATTTTGAGATATCGCGTATTTGAAGCATAAACCGGTTTTGTTTCTCTATCTAAGAATCCCATAAACTTTTTCAGCTGAATTTCATATTTCTCCCCGAAAGCGTCCCCGTTCCCTAACAATTCAATGCGGCGCCATAAAATTGAACCAGAACACATGGACCAGAGTCTAGAGACAAACAAGACGGGATATAGTGCATTATCTTCAGCTAAGAAATTAAAAATTTTCGCTAATAACTCGGGTAACGCAAGCGCCATAGTAAATGTATAAATACGTAATAAAAAATATTTATCTCTAATTCGGTCTGGAATCTTCGCGATTCTTTCTCTACCACGCGCGTTCGTGGAGTAAAATCTATGGTTCAGAGATAATATTTTTTTCTATGATTCCGTGTCTGATTACATTTATATGCGATGAGTGTTTTACGTATTACGTAGCACGTTTCTATTACCTGTGACATGTATTCGAGATAACGTGAGTGCAGAACCGAAGTGTCATTTATTCCGAAATAGGTGCATACTACATCTAAATTAAGTAACAAACAAGAATCGTGTGGTACATATAAGGAATTGTCAATTATCGACGATATACCCACAGACGATTTATACACACGATTTTATAGGTTCGCGATCGTCCGATGCATAATAATCGACATAATAGTACGAAGTCGTCATGTATTAATAGCGGAGCTAGTGTCAGAGATAAATATTGCAATCGCTAATAATCTCTTGCCTCGATTTAGTACGAGATATGAAGAACCAATGCTATGGATAGTGATGCTGGGTTTTAATGTATAAAAACGGATCGAGATTGCAGGGATTTGGGTAAGAAATAAAATATTGTTAAAACGATCATTAATCAATCGTGCAATAAATCGAACAATCAATCAAATAAACCATATTGCCCGTTGCAAACAATTACCGCAAAAATGCTCAATACCTCCGATATTTTTTTCATTTCGATTTTCATCGTTATAATCATAATCCGCGAATTATACGCTCGGGGACTCTTAACAATAGAGATGCTTTATACAGTAGCTGGGGAAAATATAACAATGTACGCTATTCTCGCGATTCTATTATTTTTTGTTCGATGGAATATATCTCCAGCTCCGACCCCACCCCAATTCCAAATCAAATGCTTACTACGATCGATCAGAGATTGCAAAAACTTGAACATGATATTTCGGGTTTACAATTCGATTTTACAAGAGCGCAAAGTGATGCGGAATGGAGAAGTGAAGTCCGAAGTAGAGGTTTGTAAAACAATTGCAAATTTAGCGCAACTCCTCATATTTTATTTAGAGCGAAACTCATTACTTGTATACCTGTATTCTATAATTAGGGCAAGCATCTATACAAAGCCACAGATCTGAATATACTACTGCAACTGAAACTCTCTGGATCGAATTTACCACCCTATTTGATGAGAGAAGAAAAAGAGGAAAATGTTCATATAATGCCTTATCTACAGAAATAAACCTCAGCCCATCTACACTTGCAAAATTCTATCAGCATCAGAAATCGCCATAACGTACATCATTAGATAAAATCGAAGCCTGGATTGAAAAAGAAAACAAGAAAAAAGATAACTCCATTATGATTAGCAGTAGTTCCCGAAATAATAATTTTTTAAGTAGCGGTAGTAGAAATATAATAATGATAATGATAGCTAGTGTGGAGTAGGGAAAGGAACCGCCATTTTTACAATGTAAAGGCCTAGGATCCAGCGGGCATTGATCAAATGCTTTATTCCTCCTCTTCGTCTCTGCCCCATGCTTCTATCTATTCGTTATTTTATTGTTATTATTAGCGGAGCTAGCAAGGCTAAAGCCATTCAAGAAGATATTTTTAGACGATCATGTAGACGCGACCATGATAATCTATTTTTTTCGTATTTATAGATCTGTAACACACGTGCACGTCATGCTTCAAGCTAATAAAATTTCGTTGTGTACCACATAGTGGTGTATTAATAAAACGCGTATATTAATCATGCCCAAATATTTTGAACGGGATCCCGCGGCTTGGGATATTATTGACTTCCTAAGTGAGTATGAGGCAGAGCCATTTGACTCAAACATAGATACCTATTTAAAAGATCTCCAACGCATCGTTAACAGTCAGAAAGGTAAAAGGGCCGAAAAGGCAAAATTACTTATAAAAGATTATAGAGAGGCAAGTAAAAAAACCTTTAAATCCTATTGGAAAGGGAAGTGGCGTGAACGGAGGCCTCTTAGGTTGCCGTTCATTCAAGGTTCTTAGCTGAGCCACGAAACTGGTGTTGGCGCACAGTTGGCTTCCTAGGCTGGCTGATGCTAAAGGCTCTTAGCTGATCCAACACCGGACCCATTGGAGCACAGCTGGCCTCCTAGGTTTGGCTGAGGTTCTAGTGGGATTGGAAGTATTGGTAGAAAATTATTGCTAATTTCCAAAATTTCCACGTTAGGGATCCCAACCTGACCGTAAAAGAGCTAAAGCATGGGAAAAAAAACGCTTGAATAGACAGTTACACATCCATCAACCGATTAAGGGAATGTAGGAAATGTAATCGGGAATGTAAATGGTAATATCAACACCGAAAAAATAGATCAGAGAAAGGTACAGATATGCATTTTTTTTTATCCAGAAGTTGGGAATTATTCTTATGGTATAATTATGATTTGACCTTGCGCTTCTGTAGGATTTGGATGACGAAATCAATAAATTCTGGCAGAGTCCTAATCAACGACAACCCAGTCGGTTCACTAAAAAATTGCGAAAATCGGAGACCACAGATGAACGCAAACATACACAGTCCGATGAGGATAATGATTTTGAAAAAGATGATAAGGATGAAAAAGAAAAAGATCGAGAGATGAGTGAATCAAATATGTTAGAAGTTGAAGATGCATTCCGAGGAATGAAAAAAGAAAAGAAGTGGTATTTGAAATCGGGAAAGTGCGTTGAGGATGAGTTGTATGCCTTTGGGAAACAATGCAAATTTGAACAGTATGCGAAAATTTATTCGTTGTTATGAATTTTTTTTTTTTGATTTTTGACAATGCGATTTATTTTGTCAATATTTTCTTCCAGCTTGGCACATTCTTTTATTATCGACCCTGATGATGAATCATACATTCAAATAATGTATTTACTTCCGAAGACCTTAAAGAAATTCGTGATACATGTTCAAAAGATCTTCCTGAGATGCCAACAGACCTTTTAAAATATGTCAGCTTTTTCCGAAGGAAAACAACGGAAGAATTGCGGATAGCACTTGATACAAGACAAGACTGGGAAGGCAAAAATTTTAACAAAACGAGACATTTTAATTTTGATTGGGTAAAAAATTCCGTTTATAATTTGGTGCTTGAATTTGAATCTGATATGCTACAGCAAAGTCATTTGGAAGCGTGGTATAATATTCATGTATGGACATTCATTGATAAATCATTTAATGAATTGGAAGGAGTAGATATAGTCCGAGGTGAATCATGTAGTCTTGCCTCATCAAAGCGCAAAAATAATAGAAGGATAATTCAAGGAATTGTGAAAACAACAAGAAAATCTATTGGAAGGAGGGGTGATCTTATCGTAAGGAAAGGACCTTACGAATATGGAGCTTCTGAGGTTGGAAAAGATTATGAGGGGGACAATGGATCAAAATTACTAAAGGAAAGAGGTCTAAAAAGTCCGAAGATGTTAAAGGATATGATGATTGACCTGGGTAATTTTGTTGAATGGAAAACTGACAAGTTGCGTCAATTTGAGCTAGTTAGTTTCATTCACGCTGGTAGGTCTTTTTTTTTAACTTGTCATAATCTTGATAAATTTTGCCACGAAAATATTAACCATTCGTTTATGTAGGTCTTTTCATGATTTTGTTGCGTATGGATGTTCCTGCCGGATATATCTGCAGAATTACTAGGTCGGATACCCTACAAGTACCAACCAATGTCAGCCAATTCGAAAAAGCTCTTAAATGTTTGGTTTTAACATGGAAGGCTAAGGTTAGATTGATATTTCTGTTATCACATTAATAGTAAAAATTATTTAATATTTGACCATTTTCAAAATCTTAGACGATCATCTGTAAAACAATCGACGTTGTTGAAGAAATGTGTGACGATGACGTATTGGAGGATTTACAAGGAGCTGGTACCCGTAAGCATAAGGATTTGACCATTCTTCCTAACTGTATTATGACACCACAGAAAAAGCGGATGGCAAATATGATAAACACTTAATACACTTAATGAATTTATAATATTTCATAGTCTCGTAGTAATAAATATTATTTCGAATAAATATTATTTTGAATAGCATGTAGATATAATAGGTAGTTACTTGGGCAAAAAAAAATTTCACGTTATCAACTTTCACGTGTATATTGGGCGTAGCAAAATTAATATGTAAAAAGTCACATGTACATCAAGTAAAAAATAATATATGTATTAACATAAATGGCTAATTATATAATATCGCGTGAAAATTTGGGATTACAATTGACTTTACACATTATAAATTTATTAATTATAAAAGATCAAAGCTTTAAGATTCTGTTTTATTAACAAACTCCTGAATTTTTTGAATCCTTTTAGGAATAACAATTTCCGGTTCTTCATCATACCATACCTCAAGAAGAAAGATTCCGTTATCTTGACATATGCATCTTTTCTTCCAATCACGATTAACAATATTCTCGAGTTTTTTGACATCCTTATACCAGCTAGTGTTATGAAGCCGATGTTGAGCCCCTTGTACCTCTAACGCAATTCGATTACTTCGGAAGAAGGCATCAAGTTCTAATCCTTCCATAAAAGATGGACGATATTCGACTACTGGTCCCTCATTAAGAATTTCCATAACTATCTGAATACATTTATTCTGGAATTTACGATTTTTCTTAGATATCAGCTTCAGTTCCAATTTTGCTACTTTGATTTTAAGCTCAGAATTCTCAGCTGAGAGATTGGTGATATCTTTTTTATTTTTTTCTAGTTCCACCTTAAGGTTAACGTTCTCAGCTTCGCGTTTAATATTTTCTTCTATAATCTGTTTTAGCTTTGCATTCTTGGCCTCAAGATCAATGACTCATTGTTTCAATAAATCAAACTCGGATTGCATTTTAGTAACTTTTTATATAAAGCAGGTTTATTTAATTTTTAATTAGA